TGACTTCCTACTCTATTTTTGATTTCCATGCATGTCAAATACCAAATTCAAGAATACCATCCATTAGAGGATAGAAGTCATTGTTCCCTTGATTACTTGGGTCAGCAAAACAATTATTAACATAAGGCTTGAAAACCCTCAGGTTATCCCACAAACAAAAGCGGCAACCTTTCAGAAGATCCGCGCCCTCCTCGCAGTTCTCGTCCATCCATCAAGACAATCTCAGAAGTGCGCACAAAGTTCTTAGAGCCTTTCCTGATGTGTTGAGTTGACATGATGCTCAACCATAATTGCTCAGAAAGTAATAGGACAAACTGTTACAAGAAAATTTCTAAAGCGGTTTTGATTTGTGGGATCTAGATCAATTTTGCCATAAGAATTCGCACAAAACTGATTTTGACATGAAATCTTTGCACTTATTGATTTGATTTCATTAATTGCTATCTTTTTAACACTTGTAACTCAAATAAATCAAGCAAGCTCGCAAACAAACTAGCAATTTCAAAACTCAGATTACAACAAAACATATCACTTCCTCTTCCAATGCGACTTTCTGAAAAGAGCTTGACGAACAGCAAACACTACAAGAGCAGTCTGAACGAAAAAAACCACTGCTTTAGATCTAAATACAGGCTGTTCCCGTTCATATAAGTTTAAGGATAACATTACTGTTACAGTAATACATCATCTGAGAACGGAGTGAACGTGGACGAAGATTAGTGGGTTACTGTAGCTGTCGCAGACGTAGACAGGATGGAAACGGGGTGTGTCGCGTGCAGCAAATTTACATGCATATGCGCGCCACTGCCAGCTATTTTTTTGACGTAAAAACTCAGTCCAGAGGGCTTGATGAGTTTTGACCGTCAAAACCCTGTCGGAAGTTTGAGAAGAAGTAATCTTAGGCGACGTGGTTTGGAGAGCGTAATGAGAAAAAGTCGAATATAGTCATTGCAGATGTAACTAGACAAAGTAGACGTTTACCGCAGTTGTCGTGTACTACCCAGTTACCTTCAGTATTCACGCCACAGATGCCCTACATGCACAACATCACAATTGGCGTGATGTCAGATTTCAAGATGTCTCCTGACACTTCACAACTTGGTACTTAGAATGCCGAGGCAGACTTGTGTGCATTTGAGAGGGGAGAAAGAAGGCGGCTTGGGCCTGTGATACGTATCGCTGGGTAAATACATGTAGTACCGATCGACAAATTTTTAGACCTTCCTTTTCTACTTTAGTCCAGGAGCAGTTGGCTGGGTGGCACCACTGTCTCACAGTTCAGCATGGTACAGTACCGTCACTGCCGCTCCTACAATTTGAAAGCAATGTCGCGTCAGAAGCGCCGGGTCGCTGTAACTCGATTTAAGATTTTCCAGCTGAAATTTAAATTAGGTTTGAAATTTGCTCATGTATCTATTTGAAAGCCTAGATTTTTTCATTATAATGATCCATGTGACGTCATGAATAGCTGGTGCTGTCTCCGCTGCTAACAGTTCAGGAACCCAAGTGAGTCTCCTCTCAATATACTTTTACTCTAAGTTCTGGACCTGGCGTTGGTGGGAATCAGGGATACCTGTGGACATATTGAGAGGAGACTCGCTCGGGCTCGTGAACTGTCGACGGCGCAGGTAGCGTCAGCTTTTCATGACGTCACATGGATCATGAAAATTCGGGGACGAGATTTTTAAAAAAATGCATAAGTAGATTTGAAGACGCTGATGTTAAAATCAGAATTACATCAATTGGAGGATTTTGAACCAAGTTATAGCGATCCAGCACTGCCGACGCGACATTGCATCTTTCATGGCAAATTACGGCAGTGATGGTACTGTAGATATGAGTGCATTATTTCATCTTGGGCACGTCCAACATCATCAATGCTCCCTATTGTGTCATC